TTTTTTTGATTTTTCGAGACAGGGTTTCTCTGTGGTTTTGGAGCCTGTCCTGGAACTAGCTCTTGTAGACCAGGCTGGTCTCGAACTCACAGAGATCCGCCTGCCTCTGCCTCCCGAGTGCTGGGGATTAAAGGAGTGTGCCACCACCGCCCGGCTCAAATGGTTTCCTTCCTTGGTCAAACAAGCAGAACAAAGGTCAAATGCTTTAGAGGGGTTAACAGTTTCCTAAGAACCCACCCAGTCACCTGGCGATGGTGGCACACGCCTTTAATCCCAGCACTTGGGAGGCAGAGGTGGGTGGATCTCTCTGTAAGCCAGCCTGGTCTACAAGTGGGCTAGTTCCAGGACAGGCTCCAAACCTTCAGAGAAACCCTGTCTCAAAAACAAAAACAAACAAACAAAAACCCACCCAGTCCAGACCTGTTTATCCTCACACATTTTGGGACCGCCCAGTATGGCTCCTGGACCCTAAAGACAGCAAACTGGTCATGACCTGAAGTGAGATGATTTGGTCCTGACAGAAAGACATGAACGATCCACAAAGGTAAGAAGCTAGACACCGGCAGAGATTATAAAAATGTAGGCCCTGTACGGTGTTTCTGCAATCCCAGCAGCGAGAAGCAGATGCAGAAAGATCAAGTGTTCAAGACCCTGATCAGCGATATGGCAGGTCACAAGCCAGCCAGCACTACACAGCGAGACCCGTTCTGAGGAAGAAGAAAACTCCCGCACTTGGCTGGGCAGGTACGACTCCAGTTCTAGAACTTGGGGCAGCGGTACATGTGAATCCCAGGGGCCCACTGAGCCTATAAGGCATTGGATCCCTCAGAACATGAATACTGGGAATCAAAACTTGCATCCTCAGCAAGTGTAGGATGCATTCTTGCCCCCCTCCCCGCCCCCGCAGCAACCTCTCCAGCTCTACGATTTAAGAGCATGGGAAAGACTAGAGAGACCTGGATTCAATCAGAGGTGGGCATTTAGGGTTCAGATCCCAGCCCCTGCTGACTTTAGGGAAGGTGACTGCCTGGAGAAGGACGGGGACAGCCAGCCTGACGCAGGGATGAGAAAAGCAACTACACCTATCAGGTTATAGTGAGGGCTGGGTCTAACAAGCCACTTGCGCCAAGGGCACCGGGCATCCATTAAGTGTGGCGTCAGCACTCACTTCCTATTTCCTTACTAGACTTTGGTTCCTCCATGTACCATCCTCACCAACACATGCTGGCATCTAGTTAGAGAACCCAGATGCCACTAAATATCCAACAAGACACAGGAAAATCCCCACCATGAAGAACTATCACCTCAAAGATAAAGTGGCCCAGCAGTTAAGAGCGCTTGCTGTTCTTACAGAGGACACAGGTTCAATCACCATCACCCACACTGTGATCACAGCCATTTTTAAATCTAGTTCCAGAGGATCCAACACTTCCGGCCTATGCAGGCAAGCACCAATACATCTGTAACTCCAGTGCTTTGGGATCTGACACCCTTTTCTGCCTTCTGTGGGCAAGGCATGCATGTGGTACACTTGTAATATACCTACATGCATGGGAGCAAGATATTCATGGCCATAAACAAGAAAGGAGGGATTAGCATCTGGTCTTCAAATGTAGCTCCTGAGCTGAGAGACTTATGTCTGAATCAAGGAGGACATGAGGAAATCCTTTCCCGCCTCTGGAGACAGGACGGGAATAACAAATGCATGTCCCCTGTCTCTAGGCCAGTGCTCAACAAACATTAAAAATTATTTGAGGGTGAAGTTTTACAAATATTAAATCCATTTTACCAGAGGGAATCGCAGACTGCCTGGCCTAGCAACCAGGCGGGCAGCCTTCCTTTCCCTGCGGCCTGTTGCTGGGGTAATCACTATTACTTCCATAGTATCGGAACAAACAGAAGTGGAATGCTTGTTATACAAAGAACTGAGAAGAAACGAGGCATGTGTGCATGTATGTGCATGTTTGTGGAGCAGGACACGTGTGCACATTTTGTGTGCGAGCATGTGGTGGTCAGAGTTTACTTGTTTGTCTTTTAAGACAGGGCATCTCATTAGCCAAGAACTCCCCCAAAACAGGCTAGGCCAGCTGGTGGAGGCTGAGGGACCCACCCTGATCCGCCCAGCACTGAGATTACAGAGGTGAACCACTAGGCCTGACATTCAATCAGGCCCCCACGCTCACAAGACAACCACTTAACAGAGACATCTTGCCAGCCGCAAGTGAGTGGTTTTCAAGTGTGCATTACCAACAAACTCACCACTACAAGAATTCTTTTAAAAATTTCACTCATAGGGCTGGAGAGATGGCTCAGCGGTTAAGAGCACTGATTGTTCTACCAGAGGTCCTGAGTTCAATTCCCAGCAACCACATGGTGGCTTACAACCATCTCTAATAAGATCTGGTGCCAACTTCCGGCCTGCAGGGACACATGCAGGCAGAATATTGTATACATAATAAATAAATCTTAAAAAAATTTTCACTCACAAGCAGGGGTGGGAGGAGAGACAGAGGACTGGAACCCGATGCCCTCTGGCCTCTACAGGTAATAAGCATGCATGTGGTATACAGATATACATTCAGGCAAAACACCCAGACACACACAAAGCCAGCCTAGTCTATATAGCGAGTTCCAGGCCGGTCAGGGTTACAGAGTAGACCCTGACCCAGTCTCAAAAATAAAGCAAATGCAAAGCATGGTAAAAGCTGCAGACAGCCAGAGGACACCGGTCTGCATGTGATGAAAATCTCGGGTAAAGCAACTGTTTTCTAATTCTGTAGATATAGTCACATGTACATTGGCTGGGGCGTCTATCACAGCAACAGAAAGAAGCTAGAGGACAGGGACACTTGCATGTACACAAAATGAACCAGTACATGTTGCCATTATATACATTTGAAGTGTCTCCTGTTGAAGCAGCAATCTGGCCATGCTGCATCTACATTTGTATCAAGAATCAGCTGACCAGAAGCCCTTGCTGCTCTGGCTCAGGGTTTGGGGACCTTCAAGTCATACACCACTCATGAATCTAAGTAGCCCTTAACAAAATAAATACCCACAATGCTAGCATGCACCTTCAATCAAAAGGCCAAACGCATGGGGTCACCAAGATGGCTCAGCTGGTATAGGCACTTGCCCCCAAGCCTGATGACCTGAGTTTAATTCTTAGGTCCCATGTAGTGGCGAAAGCTGACTCTTCTGACCTCCACACAAGTGCCATAGATACGCATGCATGCACACATACACATGCACACAAATATTCTGTGAATGCCATCTGGGCAGGCATTACACACCAATGCACATGAGCAGACACAGCGGGTCAGGATGAGACAGAACTCTGCTTTTCATTGCCCTCATCACCTGTCAATCACTCTCCGCTCCCTTCATGACTTTGAATAAGTGCCTGAGGGTGCTCAGGAGAGCTGGTCATGGGAGGGAGGGTTAGTATTTGTCACGGACAACTATGTTACAGCAACTATTGATTTCACAATAAGACAGAGTCCATGAAAACATTCTCCCTTCTCCCTGACAGCAACCTATGGTGGAATGCCAAGTCCGCCAAGACCAAAGCACCACTAGCTCAGAAGAGTTTGTAGGCTCAGGACAGTACCAGAGCACACATGAACATTTTCACTGAGGTCTGTTGGCAATAGCTGGCAAACACTGATGAATCCCAGTCTGTCCAAGCGGCCTATATAAGCGGATGTGGTGGGGGTAGAAACCACTTGGAGGCAGCAGAACCCAGGGCTGTGGCTCCCCTGAAAGCTACAGGCTCCCTACTGAGTGGAAGACTGACTGCTTAGAAAGTTTTATCTGCTTCTGGGGGCAACAAACACAGGCTGTGATACTGGGTCTCCCAAAGGAAAAAGTGGCGTGGAGGCCAGCAAGATGGTGCCTGTGGCAGACAAAGGCACTTGCCACTGAGCCTGATGACCGGAGGTCAAGCCCTCAAACCCACACAGTGAAAGCAAAAAGCTGCCCTCTGCAAGCTACCCTCTGGTCCTCACATGAAACACAGACACTTGCGCTCACACTGACTCGTGCACACCTTTAATCCCAGCACTAGGGAGCTAGGCAGATCTCTGTGGGTTTAAGGACAGCTGAGTCTACAGGGCGAGACCCTGTCACAAAAAGAAAGAACATGAGGTTCTAAATCCTCATGCTTATGCGTGCTCCATCACAGCACTCTGGCTTACATGGCTGCTTACATGGCTTTTCGCTCTATGCCAGGGTAGGCTTTTCTGGCATTCTGGACGGACCCCCGCCTGATGTCAACTGTCCCTGACTGTAGGGGTCTGAACGAGTGTACATCCTCTTCTCCCTCCACTAGCTTCTGCCTTCCGACATCACTGCTAACAGCGGAGGGCAGGAGGGAGCAGTGGCAGGGAGTAGGCCTGCTTCGTGGCCTGGCAGGCAGGTTTGTCACATTAACAATAAAATTCGTATAAATATTTGGTTTAAAAAAAAAAAACAACAACAAGGGTCTATGGGCCCAATCTGTTCCCTGTCCCTGTGTGGCCTGCTATTTAAGCAGGGTATTTAGCAAGGGGGGGAGGGGGTTTGCACAAAAACTCAATAGCTTTTCCCCCAATATATGCATTTATGCCTGTGCACCACCTGCATGCCTGGTGTCCAAGAAGGTCACGAGAGAACATCAGAGTCCCTGACCTAGAGTTACATGTGCTTGTGAGCAGCTATGTGGATGAAGGGAACTGAATCCAGCTCCTCACCAAGAACAACCAGTGCTCTTACGCATAGAGTCATCTCTCCAGCCCAATTCAATAGTTCTTAACGCATAAACTTATAGTAAAGTCAGGCTTCAGTTTTCACCAACCAACATCAATAAAGTTTTATTGAAACTCAGCTACTAATGTCCATAGCTACAGCCACGACCAAAACACAGAACCTACCCCCCACACACACAGGAATGGGTGCAATTTATAAGAGCCAAACAATCCTGAATGTCACCCCTTCTTTTTTGAGGGTTTTGTTTGGTTGGTTTGGTTTTGGTATTTTTGAGACAAGCTCTCATGTAGTCCAACAGACTGATCCTCCTGCCTCTACCTCCCAAATGCTCCCCACACAGCAATGTGCTCCCACACCCAGTCTGCTTTTATTTTATATGGCCGCCCTTCAGGATTAGCAAGTAAGGTTGTGTATTTTTAGGATAGGGACTCTGAAGTCTCAATGAACAAGGAATGTTGCCACAAAGCTTTATGTCACATATGCCAGCCCAGGGAAGACAGACACTAAATTGAACACAAGCTTCTATAAAACCCTGGTTTTTGAAATGCAGGGCTTGCACACGAACACACTTTTTATTGTGCTAAAAAGAGCAACTGTGGTGGACACACTTGTAATCCCAGCACTCGAAGATGGTGGCGGGAGGATCAATCCAAGAGGCCTTGAGCCCTGCAGGGTTTCGGCCCATCTCCACCCTTTAGGAATGGCCTTTGGGAACACTTCCCTCGTGTCTGGGATCCGGTTATTCACCAAGTCCATCACTGTACCCCATGATGGCTGTGATGGCCTGCCTGCTTGTACCCATGGGTGAGGCACCGAGAACCAGAGTGCACCCAACAGACTCCTACCCCACTCTCCCAACTGGGGCTGACCTGTGCTCTTATCAAGGAAGTCCATGGACTCTTCACTTGCGCTGAAGTGGCTGGATGGGGCCTTCTTCTCTGGGTCCTGCTCCACGTCAGAGCCCGTGTGCACGGAAGAGTTCGTACTGGTGGGGGAGCGTGGCATGTCGGACAGGGAGATCCTGCGGCCTGCGCCCCCGCTCAGAAGGGGCTTGCTCAGGAGGATCTTGGGGGACGCTGTCATGTCAAAATTGAGCTTCACCTTCTCCTGCTTGTCTGTCTTAGCAGTGCCGGCGCTGGGGTTGCTGGGATCGAGCAGCATTTGGTACTGGCTATTGGGGGTGTATGGCGTCCTGAACGGGGAATAGTTAAAAACCCCAAACTTCCTCCGTATATTCTCCACGTAAACTTCCATCTCTTGCATGGCGCTGTTGAAGATACTTTTAGTCTTTTTCACAGAAAAGGGGATTTCTTTAGACATGAGGTAGCAATTATTGATGGGGACCCAGGCTCTAGGAGGGCAAAAGAGAGAGACTGAGTCAGCTTCATTCATTCCCAGGATTGTTTATTTTTAATTTTCTTAATGCAAACCAAATTAGCCTGGCGGGCGCTTGCCAAGATCCTTAAATGTGGGTTCTCCTTTTTAAATAAAAGGCATGTTTTGAATGGTTAATGAATGATCCACTTCACAGAGGTATTAGGGATGGAACGTGAACAACAAAACTTAGCCAAGACGTGAAAGCGCTCTACACACTTGGCCATCTTAATCTGTCAGGCACACAATGGAGGCCTTCAAGATGGCTCAGCAGGTGAAGGCGCTGCTGCCAAGCCTAAGGCAGGCCCTGCTCTGGCAGAACCGCCGTGAGCCACCCCCCTCAAGTTGTCTTTTGGCCTCCACACATGCACCGTGGTGCTCACACGCGCACACACACATAAAGAAGCAAACAAATGAGTGTTAAACACCAAAAATAAAAGGAGTGACAATCAATCCCTTCAGTTTTCTGCTGTTTCAGAGGAAGAAAACCAGTCAGAGCCCTCCACGACACATCTGAAGAAGGCATAGTTCCTGGATCTTGCTCAGCTGAACATGGACCTCCTTTCTGGGGTTTTTTTTTTTTTTTTTAAATTACAATTCCAAATGGGACTATCCTTTATAAGTTCATACTCCTAGAAGGAGGCGCAAATTTCAGATTGATCTGAGTGTCTCAATTCTCACTATGTAGTCCAGGTTGGCCTGCAACTCAGAATCTTCCTGCCTCCGCCTCCTGAGTTCCACGCCACACCTGGCAGCATGTAAGAAAATAAAAATGGGGAAAACTCTTCATAAAAAGTAGCCTTTGGCTTTGGGGTGGACACGCTCCACCTGCTGCTGTTCTCCTCTATATCGACCCCCACACTCCTGGAAGTTTTGCAGAGACCCACAAAACCAAAAGCAGTGAGGTGCTTTTCCAGAACCAGCACCCCCACCCTACCTCATGACCACAGGACGGACTGAGAACACCCAGCCATGCTCCTGTGGACGGGGGACACCAGAACATCTTGTTAATCGTGCACTCCTAACTCCACAGTCTCAGCCTCATTCAAATACTTTTCCAGGGTGCCTGGACCTCAAACCTAAGTCTGGCATAAAGCCATGGGATGTGTGGGGAGCTGGGGAAAGAAGTGACGTGCACTTGTGAGAGACACACTTGCCCGGCTGTATCCACAGCGCCCACACAGGACTCTGGACCCAGCCCTGTCTGGGCTTCCTTCTACAGCATTTTACACCACCGCAACAGGTGGCATGAATTCCTACACCTGAAGAGGAAGTGTTGCATGAGAAAGGAGGCCCTGAGCAAAGGCCAAGTTCAGCACAAAGCCTGGCTGCAAGTGAGAACCCCCAAACACACAGTTGATCTCAGGGTGCTAGAAGTGCTAGGGACACCTTCCTGCCGGGACTTGAAGACCCTCATGTCTAAGCAGGAGAAACAAGGTTGAGCACAAGTCAGACAGCTGTAAGAAGAGACAGGGCTCTGGGCTAGGCGAGGCAGAAGTGAGAGCCACCAGAATCCCCAGGGCTGCCCCAGACACTTCCGGCCTAGGAGAATGGAACTCCAACAAAGCAAACTCAACAGTCCTGAGTCAGCACCGGGGGCTTCCCAGTCAGGGGCCATAGGCCCAAGGCCCTTGCCCTGTCTGGGCCACAACTACCTCCTACCCCCTACACTATTCCCAAAAGCCTCAAGGGGCCTAGGCAGGAATAAGCTTTTTCCTTAAAAGGAAAAGAGGTTTTCCTCAGCACAGAAGGCCTCAGGCAGGAGCCACAGAACTGCTCTCCTCTGAGTGACCCTGGGTAAGGTATTGCCTTCCCTGGGCCTCAGTTTTCTCACCGGGAAGACTGAGGTGAAAGCAGCAACTTCAAAGAGTAGGGAAGCTGCCTGATGTCTGGGGACAGGGGTTTGTGTCTGCAGCCCCAGCTCTCAGGAGGCAGAAGGAGCAAAATCCAAGACTAGCCTGTTACACAAGGATCCCTTCCTCAATTGTACAGTAGGCAATGAAGGCTAACGGGTATTTTTTCTTAAGGCTTAGCAATCATTTGGCATAAGAATTTCTATAGTTTTAGATAATGGTACATGTGTCTAAAATTAATCAAACAATTCTTTTAAAAGATAAAAAGCATCCCGGGCATGGTAGCTCACACCTTTAATCCCAGCACTGGAGAAAGAGAGGCAGAGGCAGGCCTCTGACTTTTCAGGCCAGCCTGGTCTACAGGGACAACATAGGGCTTCACAGAGAAACCCTGTCCCAAAGGGAAAAAAAGGCAGAAAAGCTAACAGAGGGAGACTTCAGGGTGTCCTGTGACTGCCTCCAGAGCCTCCATGGGTTCATTCTCCAGCCAATCAACTTGACAATCTGAATGTAGGGTTCTGGGATGTTTCTTAGCCTGACCCAGCTCACCATTGTATGCCTAGGCTTTTGCTTTTGGCACCTGTTATATGACTCCCATGGGTCCCTATACCACAATTTCAGCACATCTTAGCAAAGCAGGCTGTGGATGGGCCTTCCTGGGTTGGTTGTCTAGGGTTGGGTATGGTGGCACATGCATTTAATCCCAGCACTCGAGGCAGAGGCAGGGGGATCTCTGTGAGTTCAAGGATAGCCAGGGCTGTTATAAAGAGAAACCCTGTCTAGAAGGGGGTGGGGAGGGGAGCTCCTGTCTGGGAACCAAGAATTCATTCCCCTAAGGAGAATATGCCCATCAGCTCCCAGGGACAGGAAAACCCTGGGCCTCCAAAGTGTTGGTACCATGGCACTGTGGACTGTCCATACATCCGCAGGAGGGCCACCTTGCCCAAAGTAAGCACACCAGCTGAGCACAGGCCAGCAGAGGAAACTGCAAAACACTGCAGATGCTGAGAAGGATCGTGATCTTGCAAGAGAGCAGGAAAGGTCTGGCTCTCAGCCAAGATCAAGAGATACACTGTATACATCCATCTAAGGCAGCAGCCTTAGCAGAGTACAAGCAATGCCTTTGAGGCCTGTGTGCCCAAGGACACCTTCATTGGCAGGCTGGCAGGACAGACACAGTAGAAGGAACAGAGCCATGAACTCTGTGGGTCTAGGACCATCTGGTAAACGGGGACACACTGCTGTGCCACACTAATGCACACCCCTGGAGGTGACTCCACAATGCTGCTCCACAGAAGAGCCTTAAACTATTAAGATATGAACACAAGCACTTAGGAGGCAGAGGCAAGTGGATCTCGGTGAGTTCGAGACCAGCCTAGTCTACAAGAGCTAGTTCCAGGACAGGCACCAAAGCTACACAGAGAAACCCTGCCCCCCCCCCCCAAAAAACAAAACAAAACAAAAAAAAGCAAGCAAGCAAAGCTGTGAACAATAAGGCTCTGTGATGGGATGTGGAGGGCACAGCCAGTCACCAGCTCCTCCTGCTATAGGAACAAAAAGCAAATCCTTGCTCTCCTCTACCCCAGTTCAAATCACAGGCACAGCCCTTCCCGAGCCTCCGCCCCTCCAGCTGTCAGCCAGTACCTCACACCCAGCATTTCCTACAGCTGGGAGAAAGCTGGCCTAGCAGCTCAGTAAGTCAAGCATCTGCCTGCCAGCAATTGCGCTGTAGCCAGAGGAAGCAAATTCCTTCAAATGAAGGAATGCTGAAGTTCAGGACAGGACTGGATCGGGAGGGCCTGGGGATGGAGCTGACTGGGTAGAGGGCTTGGCTAGCAAGCAGGAAGCCCCGGGTTCTCTCAACACATAACCAGGTCTCAAGGCGTATGCCTGGAAGTCCAGCACTCAGGCAAGAAGGAAGACCAGGAGCCCAGAGTCACCTTGCAATATAAAACAAATTGAGAGTAGCCTGAGCTACATGAGCCCCTGACATTGCCCCCAGAAAAAGATGGGGGAGGGAGTCAAAACTAAAGTGTGATACCCAAAGCCAGTACCACCTCGGTGAGACAAGGGACCTGCTGGGATTTCTGTAAGAAACTAAATCTCTCTAAAATTCTTTATCTCCTTTGATTTGTAAATCAATCAAAAATTGACAGTAAGCGCTATTTGTGATGCTGGTATCACCTATATATATATAGGTGATACCAGCATCACAAATACACATATATATATATGTATGTATATTCTGTGTGGGACACACTTCAACTCCTATGCACTCGCTCCTACATCGTCCCAGCAGAGGGGGACGGCTCTGAAGGCGCCCTTGATTCAAGAAATCCTGAGTGACCCGCTGAAAGGAAACATGTTAAGCGGCACCTCTGGCTACCCACAGTTCGCAGGCAGGCGGGGTGCCAAAGCAATGGGAACTGCTCTTAGCTGGAATGACTCCATAGCTCCATTCAGCCTGTGCAGAATGGAAAGGGGTGGATGGGGTGGATGGGGTGGGTGGGGAGGCTGGGAGGGAGGGTTCACACCTGTCAGAACATCATCATCCCCATCCCCCCCCCCCACCACCATTTCCCATTTTAGATATGGAGAAAAGGGAACTACTCCATCTAGCCTAAGAGAACCATTTAGTGGCAATCTAGGAAACTACCTCCAGTCCCTAAAAAACATTACTTTTAAAAGTAATTTGCACAGAGGTTTAATTCACTCCAGAAAACAAAATAAATAAGTAACTGCACGTCAAACAGCAGCACCTCACACGGTCATGGAACTCATTCCGAAGCCAGATCCATCAACACAACCGTGGAGGCCAGCTTCTTTCCTAAGACCCCTAAAGGGACTGAACGAAGCCCTCCCCTCACTGGGCTCAACACAGAACCATAAAATGTTTTTTTGCAACACCAGTTGTGACAATAAACAAAACAACAGCCATAGTCATTGCGAATAAAAGGTAGAATTTGTTTTTTAACAGCAGCAGAAATAACAGCAAGCCGGCTCCGCCACCTTTGACATCTGATGTAAATTCCCAGGCTTCCACCCGGAGTCTGCTTTTAAATTCCCACCTGTCATGTTGTCCAAAGAAACGGGCATCAACCTGCCCATCTTTGTCCCTCAGAGCTTTCGCTGGCCAGAATGGGAACCCTTTCAGTTTGGCCCAGACCAGAGGGTGCGGATTGCTCTAGAAGAAGAACAAAAGGCAGAGTTGACATTATACTTGGCAGCGGGACACACATTAAAGTCAAGGTAAAATGAACACGGGGAGACAGGATCTGCCGAGTAGGTCTTTGTCAACTTGGCACAAGCTAGAGTCATTTGGGGAGGGGGACGACTGTAAGTGAGAAAAAGCCTCCATCAGACTGGCCTGTAGACAAGGCTGTGGGGCATTTTCTTCATTAATGGCTGATACGGCAGGGTTCTGGCCCCTGGTGAGTGGTGCTACCCGTGGGCTGGTGGTCCCAGGTTCTATAAGAAAGCAGGCTGAGCAGGCTAGGAGAAACAAGCCCCCTCCACTGCTTCTACTTTGGGTCCTGCTATGACGACCCTGGATGATGCTATAAGAAGAAATAAACCCTTTCCTTGCCAAGTTGATTTTGGCCATGGTGTTTTCCTTTTTCTTTTTTGGTTTTCCGAGACAGGGTTTCTCTGTGGTTTTGGAGCCTGTCCTGGAACTAGCCCTTGTAGACCAGGCTGACCCTCGAACTCACAGAGATCCGCCTGCCTCTGCCTCCCGAGTGCTGGGATTAAAGGCGTATGCCCATTGCCCGGCGGTCATGGTGTTTTCACAGCGATTAAGAGGCAAAACAGCGTGAGTCACGCACAAAATGAGGACAGCTGCCAGCAGGGCCCTCACACAGGTGCTCACTGGCAGGTGTGCAGCCACACAGCTGCGGAGGGCCCGACAGCTGAAAGTGAGCCTGGCACGGTGGCACTCACCTTTAACCCCAGCACTCAGGAGGAAGAGACAGGCAGATGTCTGAGTTCCAGGACAGTCAGTGCTACACAAAAAAAACCTGACTTATTTAAAAAAAAAGTGTTGAAACAGTGAAAAGAATCAGGCACGGGTCCTGGCTCTGCTCATTACTGCGGTGACCATGGATGAGCAAATGCACTTCTCTTGGCACCACAGAAAGTCAGCACCCATCTGTGCTGTTTGGAGAAAATGGAGAGCTATGCAGGAGGCGCTCATCTGCCGGGGATCCCCAGGGCTGTGGCTGAGCTGGTCTTTATCTCCAGAGGCTCAGAAACCTGAGCTGGGTGTTAACTGTCATTTGTCCTGTCTTGCCCTCTCCAACCCTCCGCCCTGCCTCTCTCTCATGTATACTCACTCCACCCCGCTACATGCACCTCTGTAAAACAGCGCTTCTCAATCTGTGGGCCATGACCCCTTTGGAGAGTCAAGTGGCCCTTTCACAGGGGCCACCTAAGGTCATCAGAAAACACAGATATTTACATTAGGATTCATAATAGTAGCAAAATTATAGTTATGAAGTAGCAACAAAATAATTTTATGGCTGGGGTCACCACAACATGAGGCACTGTATTAAAGGGTCATAGCATTAGGAAGGTTGAGAACCACTGCTTAAAATAAACATACATTGATCCAGTCAATGCCCAACACTGTAAGAGAAACAAAGTCCATGAGGGTAACTTTGTACCTCTCTGGAGAGCCTGAGACAATCCTCCAGGGACGTATGTCCAAAGGTCTTCAAACAGACAAACCAGATTTAAGAATGACACAGAAAACTGCAGGCATTAAAAAAAAAAGAAAGAAAGAAAAAGAAAAAGAGGGAAAAAAAAGAAAGATAAAAGAAAAAAGCGGGCGGTGGTGGCGCACACGGGAGGCAGAGGCAGGCGGATCTCTGTGAGTTCGAGACCAGCCTGGTCTACAGAGCTAGTTCCAGGACAGGCTCCAAAGCCACAGAGAAACCCTGTCTCGGAAAAAAAAAAAAACTGCAGGCATGATTCTGATGTCCTGTGACCTGCATCCCACTAGCCGCATCCCTCTTTTGAGTCAACCTAGTTACCAGGATGGGACAAAACAGTTCAGCCCAAGAGGTTTGCCCAAGCCCAGTTAGCTCCATTCTGCCCTGACTTTTACAGATCATTTTATACAATTTCACATCTCATGAATCCCCGAAGAGGGCCCTCTTGGTATAGCCACCGAAGGCACCAGAGTTGCAGAAATGAATTAAAGGGATCGAGTCCAACTTACACAGGGTTCACAGAACCAGTTGTCTCGTTTTTGGCAAGCAGCAAGATAACACTCTGGACATACTTCAATTTCATTCATCTGTAAGGCAAAAACACATTAGAGCATGGAGCCCCAGAGACGGCCTCACGTCTGGCAGCCCTCAGTAAATCCCTGGTAGTTAAGTGCTTGTACTTTGATTTCAAGGTCAGATTTTCTTCTTTGGGATTTTCTCTTGTATTAGGGGGCAGGGAGATAGCAATAGAATCTTGCCAGGTAGCCCAGGCTGGCCTCAACATGATCAAAAGATCCTTCTGCCTCAGCTTAGAGGTTCACAGTGGTGCACACAGCACAGTTTGCTTTCTGGTGAGTGTGTGTGTGTGAGAGAGAGAGAGTGTGTGTGAGTGTGTATGTGTGTTTTTAGGGAGGAAGGGAGGAAGAGAGGGAAGGAGGAAGGGAGGAAGGGAGGGAGGGAGGGAGGGAGGGAGGGAGGG